CTCCATTTCGGTTTTGAACTCAGCTCTAATTTCTTCGCGTTGTTTAGCCAACGCTTCTTGCAGCATTTGAGCTAGTTGATCCGGCGTGATCGCGAATGATTCTCTGGCTCGTCCAACACTGGATGCAGTATCGTCCGATGCAATAGCGGAACAAGTATCCGACAATTCTTCATCTGAAGATAAACCCTCGTGCATTCTCCTGTAATCTCGACGTAAGTTGGCTCTTCTTTGTAACCGCGCCATCCTTTGAGAAAGACCCCGCTCAACTCTCCCTCCCGGAGAGAAATCAGGGTCGTAGTTAACTGACTTTTGCTTTCCTTTATTGGTCATGTTGATAGTGACCTCAGGAAGCTCATCTTGTCGGATTACAGATTTCGTTTTGTTGAAACGTCTTGTTTTGGGTCTTGACGCTTCATTGGACAATCTTTGAAATACGGAGACTCTTGTTGAATTATTCTTAGAGCATCCGCATTCTGTCAACACTGCTTTAATGAGTCTCTCGCAAGCGCAATGAGACTCATTTTCTCTGACAACTCTCTTTCTTGAGTTATCTTTCTGATAGTACAGCTCATCATTATTGTGATTCGAGCAACCTATCTTTCGCTTTTGAACTTTGTTAACATGCACAGGACGACTGGTCGTCGCCTCTGAGCGATCCAAAGTTGAATGTTTAAATCCACCCCCTTGCGGGTGTGGAGTTTTCAGAGGTCCTAAACGAGAGTGAACTGGTATTCTCTCGTTTTGGACTTGTGCAGTTCTGACAGGAGGGTGTTTACGACCCCCTGCATATGAAACCATTAATGGTTTATTTGCCGGACATGGTTGTTCCTTGACTGGGGCTTTGCCTCGATCATCAACTGAAGGACCAAGGCGATCTGCCATTGTTATCTTGAACTTGGACAAATCTGGGCTAACCCAGGGTTCTACTGGTGTTGCAGTAGACGGGCCCGGAACAGATGCTTGTGGCGTCTTTGGCATCCAGACTTTACGATTCTTCGGTGGCCTTTCAGTCACCGCCTCTTTCTTGGTTTCTTGCGCTCGTTGACGAAGAGCGCGAGCGTGGGCAGCCTTCGCCTTACGCCTTTGTATCCGTTCTTTAAGGGTTGAACGGGCCCTTTTGACGAGAGTCCATTCCTCCGTCGTAAGCTTTGCAGAAATATGATTATCTTGCCATTGAGGCAACTGGGTCATTTTCTGTTTTCTCGACTTTAGGTCCGCATAGTAATGGACCCCGTCGGTTTGTTGCATGGCCTTAGCCAATTGTCGAGCACGGCGCTGACGCTGTCTCTGACGAGCTCTTTTCGTCAGCACCGGTGAGCTATTGATCAACGACTCCGTAACTGGTGTAGAGTCGTTTTGAGCAGGGACGTTGCAAGGAGATTCCTTAACAACGATCGAGCCAGAATCTTTGTCTGCGGCCTCCGTTGGAATTGCAGACTTGAAATTTTTCGAAATCTTCCTATATTTGCGAGACGAGGAAGATTTCGCGGATGAGGATGATAAATACTCCTCAAACTTCGCCTGATCGAATTCGTATTCGATCTCTTCATTGATGATGATCTTGATCGGTTGCGACACCGCGGTCTCGGCAGCGAGACCGCTGGCTCCCACTGTGGTCGCCAGCTTGTTTGGTTCAAAAGTCGCTGCTGTGGAATTCATTATAACTTTGTTCGATTACAACAAATTCGAAAGAATAATCTTTTTATAAGACTTTTTCTACACAACAAAACAAAAATTACAACTCTTGAGAAACAAACACGAAAATCGTCTATCAATTCTCGTTTTCGTGGGACTTTGCCTGTGCCGGGAACGCTTTGGTTCGTGGACCGCCGATTCACAGATCGTGAAGAGGGGGCTTATGATTCTAACTTCGTTATCGAAGTAGAAATTGAAACGATATCTTATCGAAGTAAGATAGTCGTTCTTCTTAAAATCAAGTCGAAGCTTAATTTCAAGGCGTTGCAAGAAAAGAACTCAAATCTCTGCTCTCTCTGCTCTGGAATGCTCTAACAAATGCTCGATCCTCGTCAGAAGTGACCCTAGGGGGGTATTTATAGCCTCAAGGGTCAGTAACTGCAAAAACTTAACAATCGAAGAAGTCAGTACGGCGAGACAGTGTTTACTGTCTCGCTGGGCGAGACAGCGTTTGCTGTCTCGACCCGCGAGACAGTAAATTTGCTGTCTCGCTCAGCGAGACAGTAAATGCTGTCTCGGAAAATGGCAGTTTCTCGCTGTAACTGTTCTCTCACGTTTCAAACTCTGTTATTTTGGCAGTTATCCACGTGATTTTCGCCCATGATGTTTCCCACGTCCCTTGGCAGTTAATGGACACGTGTAGGGCAGTTACAAATGTAGTTTTGACTATTTCAACACTGTCTCGCTGGCGAGACAGTTCATACTTGTTTTGATTTTTCCAAAACAGTATGAAATCCTTTCTTGTGAATTTTTGAGTGATCTTCTCTATGCTTGGGATATCTATTAGCATTTTTTGACGCCTACAACAGTTACGAGTACTGAATAAAAATCTTAAATGTGCTCCAATTTCAATTGTAATGGCCATGTCACAAGCTCAATGGAGAATTCATTGCAAGGACTGACAATTATTCATGTACTAGTTAAGGACTCGTGCTTATAATTGTTTTCTACATTCATTTGTTTTAGGAAGGACATTTACCTGAGTTTATTGATAGTAAAAAAAAAAAAAAAACTATCTTTATAAAGATATAAAACCAAAGAAAAATAAAAGGGAACTCAACTGCCACGTACATAATTCACCAAGAAAGTGTTGACGGTCATCAATGCGTGAGGGCAACAATTCCTTATGAGGGTTGAGATGATTGGGAAAAGGTTCAAAGTTCAAGTTAGAAAGATGTGCATCCTGTTTGTATAATTTTTTGTACCAGATGTGACTTACCTTGTAGATTGATATGGACAGAGCATCGCAAAAAATAAATGTTCATGTGGGCAAAAGAAAGAGGCTCACTTTCCATTGAAAACGAAGCAAGAAACAAGGACAAAGGATAGAAGAAAAGGAAAGGCAAAGTCTGTTGAAGTTAGGCCCTACAGTTTACAAGGGTCGAAAATTCCAAAAACATGTCAAGAATTATGGGGGATTTACTATTAGGAGCTGTTTGTTTGCCAAAAAAAAAAAAAAAAACCCCATCATGTCACATTTCAAGAAATCACCCTCTGTCACGTAGGATTTTGGTTTCAACCGATTTTTAAATCACATGTTTGTTTCGTTTTGTGATTTAAAGAAATGAAGGTGCTACATAGGATGCTATGTCATATTTTTAAGAACTGTGTTTTCACTGTTTTCACACCAAAAACCTCTGAAAACGTCACTTCTATGAATTTTTAATTACTAAAAACACTGTTGAAACAGTCTATGTGAATAAAACAGATTATTTAAATGCTAAAAACACTGTTACTATTGCGGCTGATTTCTCTTTCC